TGTTCCGCACAACAAATATATCTCAAGACTGAGGTAGGCCACGACGTGCGCGAGAAGGGGACCAAATATTCTCCAAATATCTCGCTGAGATATTTGTATGGTATTTTTCGATTATGCGTGGCGCTTCTCAACTGGAGAAATCTGCTCAAATATTTCATGAGGCTCTGAAATATTTGGACGGATGACACGATCATGTTCCTCCGTACATAGCGCTATGTAGCGCTAAGGCTAAATATTTGACAAATATTTGGTGGAGGGGAGTACCCTCCTCCCCTCGCTCCTACATACGTCCCAAATATTTGGGATTCGTCTCGAATATCCGGGGGGGACATCCCTCCAACCGTCTCAAATATTTGGAGGGGCCACTATAACATTTGGGCCAAATAATTCGCGTTTTACTATAACTATAAGGATTGAAAAATTTATCTAACTGATATCCCTGAGGGATCCGGCATGTTCGTGAAACCGCCTCTGTTCCGGTCTCCTGCACTGACCTAGGCACCCCCGCCGTGCTCTCCCTACCTCCACCACTTTTGCGCTTCAATTTGGTGACATCGCTGACATGCACACTCTTCTTAGTGGGTACGGATGGGACATCAGCTCGCATCACGTTGCATGCGAGCACATGCTTCGTGTCATGCCAAACCTCAAGAGCGACCTCGATTACCTTCTGCGGGACCCGGACAGAGTGCGCAACTACGGCAAATACGTGCGTACCAGAACTGAATCAAACTTGTACTAACAAGGTTACGTGTCACAGGTCAACAGTCGGGTTCGCGCGAGACGTCGCGACGATTGCGGAAAATTTCGTGACGAGGTTCTCAATTTGATGCGCCATATCCCAGAATTTGCGCACCTCAACATTGTGCATATTGAGAAGGCCGAACGCGGGTGGAAGAACGACTTGACGGCGCGCCTCCTGTGTCCTATGCAACTGATCCCCAGATTTGATCGTGATCCCACTCAGTAAGCTCCTATTGTTTGTCTTGTTGATGGCTCACTACATCTTACCTAGGTTCCGTGCTGATGTGCGCAATGCCAAGACCGAGATTCATTGCGACGACTTCTTCTCGGCTTTGTATGATACTGACATGCATGATCCGGAGGATTTTCAGAGTGGCCTGTTTCGTGGGCCGCTCCTCCTCAAAGTGAGTGGGTGATATGTCACCCAATGTGCATGCTAACATTGTTCTGCTAGACGTTTGAATGGTTGTTCTGCGGCCGAAAAGTGGCTAGGGGGACACTACAATTCGGCGAGAAGGCGTCCGGCAAGGAGCCGTTCCTCGCTGCGTACAAGATAACCCAAGTCACACCCCAGATGATTGCCTACGCCGCTTGTATCGTGAGTCGATATGTCGATGCTCACGATGTGTTGCTTCTCACACCTGCGCAGCTCCAATTTGCTCTGAACAGCCAGAGTGAGTGGTCCCGAAAAGACGGCAATTTCGACGTGACAGGTTTCCACACCAACGTTGCGATGTCCTTCATCCTCGACGAATGGGCGGATGACACTCTGGCCTGGTGGGACAAGTGTGTGACATCGTTCAATATCATCACCGTGTACTGACCGCACCTAGGGCGATTTTTGGATCAGCAAAGGGTGCGTCCAGTGCAGCCCCTGTCATCACTGGTCCTCGCACAGGCTCCATGGCGGCACAGCTTGCCGATCAGATTGCCGCTCAAGCATCCTCCAGATAAAATGCGCACTAACTCCCAACCGGTGTATGTAGTGCGCACAACATGTGTTCGGCCGCTCACCTGTCACGCGTTGCAGTGTTCAATACAGCATCGGCATCGGCATCTACGTCGAGGATTCCTCAAGTGCATGGCCCCTCGTCTTCTTCGTCTGAGTCGCCCTCGCCTCCGCCTAGTCAGAATAACTACACTCCTAGGGCCTCTCATCCTTCACCTCCCCAGCCGTCGCCGAATTCGGCACCTGCGAAAGTCGACGACTCTGAGGCAATCAACAGCGACCTTGATGTTTTGGTTCGGATAACGTGCAAAAAGGATTTGCAGGCGGTACTGTGGATCCGTCCAGTCATGCTCGCCCAGGGAGCACGTTTCATCGACAATGCTGACCTTGTTGACCTCCGACGTGCTGATGTTCACCTTGGTATCTCCCTTCTAGCAACTGTTACGGCCTCAGTCCCGTGTTTGCCGATGTCCCCCTCTTGCGCGCCGTGCTTCTGCCCTCTGTGTCTGACCTTCATCCTCTCTCGCTTGCACCTCATGGCTGTCCGCCGCTCTCACTGCTGTTTTATCATACTTGCCCTGAATGAATATTATTAATCATATCTTTTCGTGTGCGAAAATGTGCCCAGTGGTCAGAATGTGTGCCTGCAACAAACCTGCATTGTCAACGCCATCCCCGACCATCCATACAATGGTATTGGCATGGGAACTCCTGGCTCACATGATAATCCCTGGCCGAGCGTGCCCATGAGTTCCAGTGCAAGCTTATTGAATGTGATGACGGCCCGATATACTATGATGATCACAAAAAATAAGCTCTCATATCTAACGCCATTAGACCGCCTATCTCGTCAAGACTA